CCTCTGCCTCCCAGGTTCAAGTGATTCTCCTGCCTCAGCCTCCTGAGTAGTGGGGATTGCAGGCACGGACCACCACAACTGACTAATTTTCATATTTTTAGTAGAGATGGGGTCTCACCAAGTTGGTCAGGCTGGTCTTGAACTCCTGACCTTGTGATCTGCCCACTTCAGCCTCCCAAAGTGCTGGGATTACAGGCGTGAGCCTACGCACCTGGCCATTTCTTAACCCTTCTGACCCTCAGTTTCCCCATGTAGAAAGTTGACTGGTGCCATGATTAAGGCAGGCTCTTCTACTGTGGACCCTCCCCTGCCAAATGTTTCCTGCAGACCCCAGGACTGTGGCCACCATGCATAAGCCCCGCTGCTCCCTACCTGATGTGCTGGGGGTGGCGGGGCTGGTCAGGCGTCGGCGCCGGTACGCCCTGAGCGGCAGCGTGTGGAAGAAGCGCACCCTGACGTGGAGGTAGGTCGCTGGGTCACCCGCACCCTGGGCAGGACGGCCGGGCCCCAGCTTTGAATGGTTGCCTGCACCCTCCACAGCCGCCCTTACACCTCGCTCCCTTCTCCCCAGGGTGCGTTCCTTCCCCCAGAGTTCCCAGCTGAGGCCGGAGACCGTACGGGTCCTCATGAACTATGCACTGATGGCCTGGGGCATGGAGACAGATCTCAAATTCCATGAGGTGGATTCCCCTCAGGGCCAGGAGCCTGACATCCTCGTTGACTTTGCCAGCGCCTTCCACCAGGACAGCTACCCCTTCGACGGAGTGGGGGGCACCCTAGCCCATGCCTTCTTCCCCGGGGAGCACCCCATCTCTGGGGACACTCACTTTGATGATGAGGAGACCTGGACTTTTGGGTCAAAAGGTAAAATCTCCTCTCTTATGAGAGATCCTCTTCTGGTCTGGTCTTAAGAATATGTTTTCTGTTGTGTGTTTTGTTTAAGAGACAGGGTCTCGCTCTGTTGCTCAGGCTGGAGCGCAGTGGTGCAATCATAGCTCACTGGAGCCTTGAACTTCTAGGCTCAAGCAATCCTCCCCCCTCAGTCTCCAGAGTAGCTGGGATCACTGGTGCACACCACCATAGCTGGCTATTTGTTTTACTTTTTGTAGAAACAGGGTCTCACTATGTTGCCCAGGCTGGAGTGCAGTGACATGATCAAGGCTCACTGCAGCCTTCACCTCCTGGGCTCAGGTGATCCTCCCTCCTTGGCCACCCACATAGCCAGGACCACAGATGTGCACCACCACAACTGGCTAGTTTTAAAATTTTTTGTACTGCTTCACTTGACTAGCCTTTAAAAAAAAAATTTTTTTTTTTTTTTTTTTTTTTTTTTGTGTAGTGTAGCACTATGTTGCCAGGCTGGTCTTGAACTCCTGGGCTCAAGTGCTCAAGTGATCCTCCCACCTCGGCCTTCCAAAGCACTGGGATTATAGGCATAAGCCAGCACTCCTGGCCAAGAATTATATTTATTGATGGGGGGCTCTATGAACTGGGGTCTCTGGAGAAACAGAACCAATAGGATATGTGTGTGTGTGTGTGTGTGTGTGTGTAAAGAGATTTATTTTAAGGAATTGGCTCACAGGGATTGTAGGAGCTAGCAAATCCAAAATTTGTTAGGCAGTTATAGTCTGGAGGCAAAATTTTTTGCTCTCCAGAAAACCTTAGTTTTGCTCTTAAGGCCTTGAACTAACTGACTGGCTGTGTCCCCACCTCACCCCCAGCCACACTATGGAGTGTGATCTGCTTTACTTAAAGTCAACTGATTATAGATGTTAATTGCATCTACAAAGCACACTCACCATAGCATCTATACTGGTGTTTCACCAACCAGCTGGGCACGACAGCCAGGCCAAATTGACACACACAATGAACCATCACAAAGGCCTGTCAGCTGAGGCTGGGGGTTACAGAGACAAAAACACAACTTTGCCCAGCACCTGAGTCAGAAGAGTGACTGGCAATGACAATACCACAGTGACGCAGCTGCACAGAATCCCAGCAGAGGAAGTCCTCAAGCCTGCAGGGGCTCAGAGATGTTGGTTCAAAGCTCTTGGGCAAGGGGAGACTTCCTGGAAGAGGTGACTTCATTGCCTCAATATATATACGAATATTGGCTGGGCGCAGTGGCTCACGCCTGTAATCCCAGCACCTTGGGAGGCTGAGGTGGGTAGATCACCTGAGGTCAGGAGTTCGAGACCAGCCTGACCAACATGGTGAAACCCAGTCTCTACTAAAAACACAAAAAATTACCCAGGTCTGGTGGTGGGTGCCTGTAATCCCAGCTACTCAGGAGGCTGAGGCAGGAGAATCACTTGGACCTGAGAGGCAGAGGTTGCAGTGGGCCAAGATTGCACCACTGCACTCCAGCCTGGGCAATAAGAGTAAAACTCCATCTCAAAAAATTATATATATATGTGTATGAATATCCACACATACACACTAAGCGCCTACTAGCACAAGACAAGACAGACAGGGTTCTGCTCTCCCAGGTACACAGGGTTGAGATACAATAGGGAAGCAGTGAGCCGGCTGAGTCAGGGGTATGAGGAGCCAATGCACAGGGAAATGCCCTAGGACATCCAAGGCCAGAAGGCAAACATGTGGCATCAGAAGGCAGCAGGTCCCAGATCACCAAGGGTCTAGAAAGCATGTGGAAGACTTGGGACAATGAGGGAGTCATTAAGGGGTTTTGCGTTCTAGATATATCACCAGCTTCAGTCGGGGGCCAGGGGTAGCATTGAGATCTGGCTGGATTCTGGAACGGGGCAATGAGGTTAAGGCCCTTGGAGGATGGCTGTTAATGCAGGTGGGAATGCAGGTGGGGAAGCGGGAGCGGGAGGAGCAGGCTGGCAGAAGTCCGGCACACGTGCTGGTCTGGATGTGAGTCTGCAGCATGCCCGGGCTGGCCATGCAGGTGGGCATGGGAAGTTGAGGATCCTGCCCTAGAGTTTGGACTCCTCTGTCTGAGGTCAGGCTCCCCAGAGGTGGAGCTCCAGAGGGAAATTCTTGTGCCAGCAGTTTCTCAGGGGCCATTTGCTGAGTGGAATGGGAAGCAGAAACAGCCTAGAAGCTGAATGAGGATGTGGTCTCAGCTGGAGATGAGCCTGATCCTCTGGGAGCTCTGCAGCAGGGACAGCAATTCAGGGGAGGTGGTCCTGCCTGAGGACCCCTGAATTGTAGCCTCATATTAAATGCATTGGCTGTGGGCTGCTGGAGAGCCTGAGTGACCAGGAAAGGGGGCAGCCGGGGAGGGGGCCTAGTCCCTGTCTAGGTTTGGGTGAGGCAAAGGCTGGGGAGGCTGTGTGCTGCAGCATTAAGATACAGGCTTCAGACTGGCCGCAGTGGTCCACACCTGTAATCCTAGCACTTTGGGAGGCCGAGGCGGGCTGATCACCTGAGGTCAGGAGTTCGAGACCAGCCTGACCAATATAGTGAAACCCTGTCTCTACTAAAAACATAATAATTAGCCGGGCATGGTGGTGCATGCCTGTAATCCCAGTTACTCAGGACGCTGAGGCAGGAGAATTGCTTGAACCCAGGAGGTGGAGGTTGCAGTGAGCCAAGATCCTGACACTGCACTCCAGCCTAGGCGACAGAGCAAGACTCTGTCTCAAAAAAAAAAAAAAAGAAAAAAGAAAAAAGAAAAAGATATGGGCTTCAGCTGGGCGTGGTGGCACATGGTTGTAGTGTCAGCTACTCAGGAGCCTAAGAGAGGAGGATTGCTTGAGCTGGGGAGGTTGAGGCAGCAACGAGCTGTGTTCCCACAACTGCACTCCAGCCTGGGTGATATAGTGAGACCCTATCACAAAAAAGAAAGAAAAAAAGAATGTGGGCTTCAAAGTTGAACTCAAGTAAGTCAGGGAACTTCCTCGTGTAATGAACAACTTCCTTAACCTCATTGTACTCAGTTTCCTCGCCTGAGAAATTTGATGAGAATGGTACCTGCTGGCGGAGTGGGCTTGCTGATGAAATAAGCGATTCACCCACGCCTCTCAGCACAGGACCTGGACCGGGCCACATTCTGTGCATTGCCGGCTGCTATTGGAGCTGGGCTAGCGGCCGCCTTGAAAGCCAGCAGTCCATGGGGGTTGGCGAGCTTCTGGGAAGAAAGGGTGGAACGTGAAGTTCAGGTGCAGAGCTACAGAGAACCCCACCACAAAGCGGTAGGTGGCAGGGGAGGAGGACTCAACAGAGATGGAGAAAGACTGAGCCCAAAGGTGATCAAGAACAAGAGTGAAGGAGGAAGTGGTCAGCCGAGACGGGGGCAGCAAACAAGCCCAGTAAGTTACATGGGCCTGTGTTTGGTCATCCAGGGACAAAGTGACTTTTTTAGTGCCTGTAAGCCCAGCGGGTTGGGAAGAATTTAGGCCACAGTGGGGTTAGGCGTGAGAGGAGCGGAGGAAGTGAAGATTGAGTTGAGACCACTGGCTGGAGAACTTGACTGGTAAGGGAGAGCAGAGTGCAGCACCGGTGTGGGGAGGGAATGGGTCCAATGAGCGTCTTAGGATGAGGGAGTCGTGAACACTCAACACTGGATGAGCTGATACAAAGAAAGGAATGAATGGATGGATGGACAGATGCATGCATACAGGCGGAGGTGGATGGGTAGACGGATGCATGTGCAGAGGCAGGGATGGATGGGTGGACGGATGCATGCGCAGAGGCAGGGATGGATGGATGGACGGATGCATGAGCAGAGGCAGGGATGGATGGGTGGGTCTGGATGGATAGAAGGGGGTAGGACGTTTTTATCCTGGAGGAGGTGATCAAGCCTAAGTCCTCACACCAGGCAGGGTGGGAGGCAGGAGGTGACCTTGGGGATATGCAGCTGTGTGCCCCAGTGCACCAGAAGTTACAGATGACATTGATGTCCTGTCCTGATGAAACAGGAAACACATTTGTCATTGGAGAGTTGGAAGCTGGGGCTGGGTAGAAGCTTGAGGGGCTGTGGGCCTGGCATGGAGCTGCCTGCTGGAGCCCGGGGCAAGGATGATAGGAGATGCCCCTGTGGACTGCCCTCTAGGAATCTCATGGGGCTGGGGCTGCACAGTTGTGCTTGTGTAATTTACCCAGATGCATGGCGTGACAAGGGTGCAGGAAGAGGTGCAGGGCCCGGAAGCCTAGTGTGGCCAAGGAGAGGCAAGGCAGGGAAGAAAGTGAAAGATGACTGATGTTGCCCTGATTGAGACACCAAACTTCCCCCAGTTTCTCAGAAAGAGGACTCAGAAGAACAAGAGAACGTACAGTGAACCTGGAAATTCATCAGTGCGAATGTGATTTCACCAAGACCATTGAAACCCCTGCTGAGAAGCAGGCCGGCAGAGCCAGGGTACCTGGCCACTACCTTGAAGTCTCTATACCTCAGTTTCCTCCTTTGTAAAATGGGCATAGGAGACAGGTTTGGTGAGAAGTGAATGAAAATGTGTTTGCTACCCTCAGGACTCACATTTCATGCTTAGACACTTAGCGAGTGGCTTTAGGGACCGAGAGAAATTTGCTTTTCAATTCACCAAGTCATTACCTATGAATCTGCCCGAACACTGCTGACCTTAGAGCTAGTTGTGAAACAGATCGGCATGGGGTCATCGGTGCCTCCCTGCGGTGTTGCCACACTGTGTCTCTGTCTTGGTCTCTTTCGGCCTCTCAGCAGTGGGAGCAGGAGCCAGCAGGCAGCTCACGGATCAATGAGCTGGGCTTGCAAAGCGTCTTGGTCCTGGCAGTCCTGGTGCCTGGGCTGAGTCCCGAGGGAAGAGGCTGCTGTGGTGGGAAGAGGCTGGGAGCGAGGCTGGGCGCTGGGGCCAGCAGGCTGCGGTCTGAGAGTGCCTGCTGCAGGAGCTCCATGTTTCCAAGGAGATGGAGGAAGACCTGAGTGGGGGTGGTAAAGGGTGGGGAGATGAGGGGCTGAAGCCGTGGGTAGGGAGATGGGGGAGGGGGAATGGAGGACTCAAGGGATGTGGGGAAGGAACGTGCCTGGAGGAGGGATGGGGGCAGGAATGGGGGCAGGTCTTGGGTTAAGGACAATGACCTACATCCCCAGCAGATGTGGGTGGCAAGGGGGAGAGGGGTGGGGGTCGCTGACCATAGACTGGAGCTGTGGGGAGGGGATGCTCCCAGGGGTGGCACTGCCTGCAGAGAATGGCCCACACCTTGCAGGTTCCTGCCCCAGCCCCACCGCCCCCTCGAGTTTCTTTTCTTTCTTTTTTTTTTTGAGATGGGTTCTTATTCTGTCGTCCAGGCTGGACTGCAGTGGCACAGTCATGGCTCACCCTCCTGGGCTCAAGCAATCCTCCTGCCTCCCTGCCTCAGCCTGGGACCTGAGTAGCTGGGGCCATGGGCGTATGCCACCACTCCCGGCTAATCTTTTGATTTTTTTTTTTTTTGTAGAGACAGTGGTCTCCTTATGTTGCCCAGGCTGGTCTTGAACTCCTGGGCTCAAGCAATCCTCCCACCTGGGCCTCCGAAAGTGGTGGGAAATCAGGCGGGAGCCACCACACCCAGCTGTTCCCTGTCAAGTTTCTCTGCACAAAGTGTTCCCTTTTCAGGGGAGGGGCCCATCTGTTTGTGTAAGATCGCCCCTTCCTCTGTGCGTTCTCTGGGTCTCTTCAGCCTGTGGTCCAGTGTCCAGCACCGCCATGCTGATTGGGTGACTGGAGACAGGAATGATGGAAGGTTGGGGAGGGCCTGGGCAGGGGAATCTGGGGCCATCTCTGAAGGGTGTCCTGCTGTTCCTGTTGGCCAGCAGCTGCACTCAGGGCCTTCCTGTGCCCGCCCTTCCCAGTGCAGGAGTGGCCTCAGCTCCTGCCCACTTTCCCCTACAGATGGTGAGGGGACCGACCTGTTTGCAGTGGCTGTGCATGAGTTCGGCCATGCTCTGGGCCTGGGCCACTCCTCGGCCCCCAACTCCATCATGAGGCCCTTCTACCAGGGCCCAGTGGGTGACCCAGACAAGTACCGCCTGTCTCAGGATGACCGTGATGGCCTGCAGCAGCTCTATGGTAGGGGGAGGGGGCGTGCCCCAAACCATCATGTGCCCTGCCCAGTGTCCTCTGCAGCAGGGCCAGGGGAACCACACTTGCCTCTTTCCCCACAGGGAAGGCACCCCAAACCCCACATGACAAGCCCACAAGGAAACCCCTGGTTCCTCCCCAGCCCCCGGCCGTGCCCCCAGACAGGTGAGTCCCCCACCACCTGTGACCTTGGGTGACCTGCTGCCCAGCCTCAGTGCCCTCAGATGGGGATGGTGGGGTCCCTGCCTTGGAGGAAACAAGCCCCCAGTGTCTGCTCACCTCTCCTTTCCTCCCCAGCCCATCCTCCCCGATCCCTGATCGATGTGAGGGCAATTTTGACGCCATCGCCAACATCCGAGGGGAAACTTTCTTCTTCAAAGGTGAGTCATTTCTCGTGTCCCCTGACCTCACATATGTTGACTTCCTACTCGCTTCAAGTGACCCACTGGGGCTGTGGGCTTACCCTGGAAGTGAAACTTTTTTTTATTCTCCTTCTTTGGGACAGAGTCTTGCTTTGTTGCCTGGGCTGAAGTGCAGTGGTGCGATCATGGCTCACTGCAGCCTCAAAATACTGGGCTCAAGCAATCCTGCCACCTCAGCCTCCCTAGTAGCTGGGACCACAGGCACAGGCCACCACGCCTCGCTAGTAATTTATTTTTTATTTTGTAGACATGCAGGCTCTCACTATGTTGCCCAGGCTGGTCTCAAGCTCCTGGCTCAAGTGATTCTCCCATCAGCCTCCCAATGTGCTAGGATTACAGGTTTGAGCCACTAGGACCGACCAGTGCAGCTTTTAGTGCTAAAAAGGGAAAAGCCCCAGGCAGGCCAGGAGGCGCTGGTCACCCTAGATCCACTGCATCCTTGATTTCCAGATGGGAGCCCTCCCACCCAGCCGCACACCCTGGGGGAGGAGACCTCCTGCTATTTCATGCCTTTCTGCCGACTCTTTCGTCCCCTGCAGGCCCCTGGTTCTGGCGTCTCCAGCCCTCGGGACAGCTGGTGTCCCCGCGACCCGCGCGGCTGCACCGCTTTTGGGAGGGTCTGCCCGCCCAGGTGAGAGTAGTGCAGGCCGCCTATGCCCGGCACCGAGACGGCCGGATCCTCCTCTTTAGCGGTGAGTGGGGCCGGCGGCGGGGCTCGCTGGGGCCGGTGCGGGGAGCCCACCCTGACCTCCCGGCCTCCGCTCTGCAGGTCCCCAGTTCTGGGTGTTCCAGGACCGGCAGCTGGAGGGCGAGGCGCGGCCGCTAACTGAGCTGGGGCTGCCCTGGGGGGAGGAGGTGGACGCCGTGTTCTCGTGGCCGCAGAATGGGAAGACCTACCTGGTCCGTGGCCGGCAGTACTGGCGCTACGACGAGGCGGCGGCGCGCCCGGACCCCGGCTACCCTCGTGACCTAAGCCTCTGGGAGGGTGCGCCCCCTTCCCCCGACGATGTCACCGTCAGCAACACAGGTGGGGAGCGCAGGCACCTGCGGGTTACTGGGCCTGGGGGTGGGGAGAGGGGTGCGGGGAATGGGGACGTGGAGGCCACCCTGGGGGAATGGGGGTCTTTGGGCAGCAGGGAGGGGCGGGGCGGGGCGGGCCCGGGACTCAAGCTCTGCTCCCCCAGGTGACACCTATTTCGTCAAGGGCGCCCACTACTGGCGCTTCCCCAAGGGCAGCATCAAGTCCGAGCCGAATGCCCCCCAGCCCATGGGGCCCGAGTGGCTGGGCTGCCCCGCCCCCAGCGCTGGACCCCGCGCCCCCAGGCCCCCCAAAGCGACCCCGGAGTCCAGAGGCTGCGATTGTCAGTGCGAGCTCAACCAGGCCTCAGGACGGCGGCCCGCGCCCCTCCCGCTGCTCCTCCTGCCCCTGCTGGTGGGAGGTGTCGCCTCCCGCTGATGGGCCCATCCCGACAGAACAGCGCCCTCCACGGCCGAGTCAGCCGCCGCTGGACCGGGTCGGGATTGCGAGGCGCTGCGGAGGCCTCTTGTCTGTTCCCAGGGACTGGGGCTTGCGCGCGGACTAAGCGAGGCGGATCTCCCGCGTTGCGGCGCCGGCGGGGACTGGTCGCTCCTAGCGCTGGTCGCCCTTGGCGCTGGGCTCAGCCTCCGAGGGGTCCGGCGCTCTCGGCGCCACCTCCGGAGCCCGCGCCAGGGGGCGCCCGCGCGCAGAGACCAAGCGTCGGTCACCGCCCCCGTCCTTCCTCCCCGAAGCCGCCAGGGGGCGGTCGGACCCTCCCCAGCCCGGAAGGGGCGGCGAGGAGGGCGGGCCCGCGGCGGCACCCGAAGGCAGCAGCTGTTCCCCACCGCGCGCTGCCTTCGCAGGACCGTCCTTTTCCGTGAAGAGCCAGCTTTTCTCCGAGCGCCGGGACTCTCCGCAGCCCCGCCCCGCCTGACCACTGTGCCTGGCGTTCCTGGATCGTTAGGGCACCGGCCTGACTGCGAAGCTGGTCTCTCTCCCACCAGCTCCTCTCCCACCCGCAGTTTCTCACCCCGTTTTGCTCCCATGACGCCCCCCTATAGTCACTGCCACATTGGTGGGGACCCGGGACTCAGATCCAGACCCAGCCCAGAGACCACCCATGAGGATCTATGCTCCATATCTGGGGTGGTGGCATCAGTGGCTGGAGGGACCCCATTAACCTGGTTTCCATCCTCCCCAGGCCACTCAGCCTGGGCACCTTCCTGGTCCCAGAACTGCCTCCCATTTAATTGGGCACCCTTCTATCCCCAAGAAGCCCTTCCCTGCTTGCACCCTGAAGAACACGGCATGGATCCCATCAACTCAACGCTGGTGGAAAGACGAGGACGAACCCTGGCTCAGGCACAGTCAATGCCTCCTCAGCACTCCTGGGTGGCCCTAGTTCTAGAGTGAGGGGTGGGTGGAACCTGGGGCCACCTTGTTCACCCTGTCCTCACTCCCCACAGATTGTGGATCTAAATGATTGCTTCTAGAACTATTCTTCTAGATTATTCCACATCAGAATTACTGGGAAATTTAAATTTGCAGATCCCACACCTTACCCTGAATCCTCACTTAGGGTGGGGTCAGGAAATGCATTTTCACTAGTTGGGGGCATTGTGGGGGCCAGCCGCTGGCTGTCTCGTGGCATTTCTGTGGCTCTGTGGTGTTCCCCCACCCCAGGACCAATCTCTTCATATCTTCTCTGCAGAGCCACACTGACGGCCTGACCTCCATGGGTAGAGTCACTTAGGGGCCACTTCCTAGGTTGCCATCTAGCCTCAGTGGCCCCACAGTGCTTCCTGGAGCCAAGGCTGTGGGCAGCCACCGGGAAGGGTTGCCCCTTCCCTTGAGGATGGCAGGCAGGAGGCTTTGGTCAGTTACCTGGGAATTCTAGGCTGCTAGGAAACGATTTTGGGCCTCTGTCAGTTTCTTTTCCATGTATGAGGAGGCAGAAACTTGTATTTTAGAAGCTTATTCATCCCACTCAGGACAATAAAAATGAATAGACAGGCCAGGCGCAGTGGCTCACGCCTGTAATCCCAGCACTTTGGGAGGCCAAGGCGGGTAGATCATGAGGTCAACAGATGGAGACCATCCAGGCCAGTATGATGAAACCCCATCTCTACTAAAAATACAAAAATTAGCTGGACGTGGTAGCACTGGCCTGTAGTCTCAGATATTTGGAAGGCTGAGGCAAGAGAATTGCCTGAACCCAGGAGGCGGAGGTTGCAGTGAGCCGAGATTTGGCCACTGCACACCAGCCTGGTGACAGAACGAGACTCTGTCTAAAAAAAAAAAAAAAAAAAGAATAGACAGAAATTCTTCTTCTGAGCATTGATGGACTTGGGGAGAAGTGTGGTGGTGGGAACTGGACCGACCTGAATCTCCTTGCTTTGCAGAAGAAGGAACCCAGGGTTGATGGAGAATCTAAAAATAAAGAGTTGGGGAGGGTTCGGTGGCTCATGCCTGTAATCCCAGCACTGTGAGGGGCCGAGGCAGGCAGATCGTTTGGGGTCAGGAGTTTGAGACCAGCCTGGCCAACATGGTGAAATCCTGTCTGCACTAAAAATATATTTTAAAAAAATTAGCCCAGCATGGTGGAACAAGTCTGTAATCCCAGCTACTCAGGAGGCTGAGGCAGGAGAGTCACTTGAACCTGAGGGAGGTTGCTGTGAGCCGAGATTGCACCACGGCACTCCAGCCTGGGTAACAGAGCAAGACTCCCTCTCAAAAAAAAAAAAAAACAAAAACTAAAAAAAAAAGATAAATAAATAAGAAAAAGAAGAAAGAAGAGTGGGAGGAGGAAGCAGAGAGGAACTCAAAAGTTGGTTATGAGGCACCTAGCGGAGGGATGGCCACTGTGGAAGAGACTGCCTCGTGACTCCATGCAGAGTTTGACAACCTTTAAAGCTTTATGTCTGCTACACAAAAATGTCATGTGAAAGTGATTACTTTTATTTTTTAAATGGTGTCATTTGAAAATGGTATGTTCTCACCGGGTGCGGTGGCTCACGCCTGTAATCCCAGCATTTGGGAGGCATAGGTAGGTGGATCAAAGGAGGTCAGGAGTTGAAGGCCAGCCTGGCCAACATGTTGAAGCCCTGTGTCTACTAAAGATACAAAAATTAGCCAGGTGTGGTGGCATGTGCTTGTAATTGCACCTACTCCGGAGGCTGAGGCAGGAGAATTGATTAAACCTGGGAGGCAGAGGTTGCGGTGAGCCAAGATCATGTCACTGCACTCCAGCTTGGGCAACAGAGTGAGGCTTAGACTCAAAACAAATAAATAAAATAAAAAATAAGCCAGCCATGGTGGCTCATGCCTATAATCTCAGCTTTTGGGAGGCCGAGGCGGATCACAAGGCCAAGAAATCAAGACCATCCTGGCCAACGGAGGGAAACCCAGTCTCTTTTTTTTTTTTTGGTAAAAATATAAAAATCACCTGGACATGGTGGCAGGTGCCTGTAATCCCAGCTACTCAGGAGGCTAAGGCAGGAGAATTGCTTGAACTCAGGAGGCAGGGATTCCAGTGAGCAGAGATCGTGCCACTGCACATCAGCCTGGGCCACAGAGCAAGACTCCACCTCAGAAAAAAAGGAAAGGAAAACAATAAAGAAAGTAGATGAGTGGTTGTCCATGGAAGTGAGGATTGGTGGTGATGTCGCAGAGGCAGGATTCCTCTCAGGTGATGAACATGTTCTAAAGTGGGTGGTGGCGATACTCACACAGTTCTCTGCTTTGAATTGCATCGCCTGTGAATTACGTCACCATAAAGCTATAAAAACGGGGAACAGTCTGGATGGATGACAAGATGCCTTTGGATGGTGGCCTTTGTGAGAGTCGCGGAGGGGCTAGGGTTGCCGGGCGAGAGACAGTCTCTTGGAGCTGAAGCCTAGAGCAAGGCTTTAGCTGGTGCAGGAGTGGCTTCCTTCTCTCTCCCACTCCACAATTCAGAGATGGCTCAGGGAAAGATCTGGACTTCCTAACTGTGGAGAGGGGGCTGCACGCAGTGGAATGGACTCCTAAGTGGCAGGCAGGTGACAACCAGTGTCTAGTCCACCCAAGTGAAGATTTCACCAGGAAAGCGTGGTTTCTAGGTTCTGTCTCTCCGGGTCCCCTTTGAGAATATAATGGGACACATTGTGTCCATGCTGGGCTAATTTTTTTTTTTTTTTTCTATTTTTAGTGCAGACAGAGTTTCACCATGTTGCCCAGGCTGGTCTCAAACTCCTAACCTTGTGATCTGTCCGCTTCGGCCTCCCAAAGTGCTGGATTTCATGTGCGAGCCACCATGCCTGGCAGACCCCTGCCCTGTCTTGATGTCGGTGTGGGCAGGGTGTGCCCAGCCCCTGAGCTGGGGGTGCACAGCTAGGAGCTGCCCCCAGCCTCCCCCAGCACACAGTGGCAGAGCCCTGCGTTCAACTCAAGCCACAATGGGGGCCCTGGCCTCGTGACCAAGCAGACACAGCCATCGTGTCACAGCCATGGAGGGGAATGCAGAGAAGGGGAGTCTGGGAAAAGTCCCTCCTGTCCATGGTGCTGTGGCCAAGAAACCAACACCTGTGGGCTTCCATCTCCCAGACTCAGGTAAAGGCTGAGAGGCCTGGGTGTGGCCAGGGCCTGGGGCTGACACCCCCACCTGCAGACCCTGAATGGTGCCCCCATTCCACAGAAGCTCACTCCTCTACTTGAAAAAGAAAGAGATGCATTATGGCGCAGAGGCAACAGACCGCCTGTCCAGGAAGTTGAGGATCCCGAAACCCAGGAGCCCGAGGAGCCCAAGGAGGGCTTCCAGGCCATGCTGCAGCAGCTGCAGACGTGGTGCCAGATGGTTCTGGCCTGGGTGAAGAAGGTGGCGGACGTGGTCCATGAAGTACAGACCTTCTGGAAAGAGTTTGAGAGTTTCTACTGCTCTCTGGCAGAGCTCTTCATGTCCTTTTTACAGCCCTTAAGGAGCCTCACGATGGGGAAGGGGGAGCTGACCCCCTAGAAGTGCTCTGAACCCCAGGGAAGCTACTGACACCACCTTTGCCCTCCCTGTCACCATGTCCCCATCCTGATCTCTCCCTCCACTCTCCTGTGCCCCACCCCCCTCCTGGCGTTCCTGCTGCAGCTCTGACCTGGCACTGTCACGACGGCATCTTAATAAAACTTGCTTATACTTACCTGGCAGAGGAGATACCGTGATCACAAAGGTGGTTTTCCCAGGGAAAGGCTTATCCGTTTCTGTATTAGTCCATTTTTCACATCACTATAAAGAATGCCTGAGACGGGGTAATTTATGAAGAAGGTTAATTGACTCACAGTTCCACAGGGCTGGGGAGGCCTGAGGAAACTTACAATCATGGGGGAAGGTGAAAGCCAATCAAGGCACGTTCTATATGGCAGCAGGAGAAGTCGGCAGGGGGAACTGCCAAACACTGTTTTTTGTTTTTTTTTTGAGACGGAGTTTTGCTCCTGTCACCCAGGCTAGAGTGCACTGCCCTTTTGACCATGCTCCTGTGATCACAGCCACCTAATACCACAAAACGCATGGCAAATTTTGTATTTTTAGTAGAGCCGGGGTTTCTCCATGTTGGTCAGGCTGGTCTTGAACTCCTGACCTCAGGTGATCCACCCGCCTCAGCCTCTCAAACTGCTGGGATTACAGTTGTGAGCCACCGCACCCAGTCCACTGACAAACATTTTTAAAACATTAGATCTTGTGAGAACTCACTCCCTTACACAATACTGCTGCATTGCCAGGACCCCGTGAAAGCTCCGCCTGTCTGGGAACAGGTGCTCTTCTTTGGCCTTCCCCACGGCTCTTGCCGCTGGAAAGTATCCCAGAGTTGCTCATTCATTTGTAAAATGGTTATATGAAGGCCACGCTTTATTTATGAGGGACTGGGATACTAGATGATGTTAGAAGTGTCTGTGATTTATTAGGTTCTATTACATTCTTTTTTTTTTTTTTTTTCTTTTTTTTGAGACAGAGTCTCACTCTGTCGCCCAGCTAGAGTGTACTGGTATGATCTCAGCTCAGTATAATCTCCACCTCCCAGGGTTTAAGCGATTCTCCTGCCTCAGCCTGCTGAGTAGCTGAGATTACAGGCATGCACCACCATGTCCGGCTGGCTTTTGCACTTTTAGTAGAGATGGGGCTTCACCATGTTGGTCAGGCTGGTTTCACGCTCCTGACCTCAGGTAATTCACCCCTCTCAGGCTCCCAAAGTGCTGGGATTACAGGAGTGAGCCACTGTGCCCAGCCACCAAACACTTTTTTTTTTTTTTTTTTTTTTTTTTTTTTGTGATGGAGTTTCACTCTTGCTGCCCAGGCTGGAGTGCAATGGTGAAATCTCGGCTCACTGCGACATCCACCTCCCAGATTCAAGTGATTCTCCTGCCTCAGGCTCCTGAGTAGCTGGGATTACAGGCATGTGCCACCACGCTTGGCAAATTTTGTATTTTTAGTAGAGATGGGGTTTCTCCTTGTTGGTCAGGCTGGTCTCGAACTCCTGACCTCAGGTGATCCACCTGCCTCAGCCTCTCAAACTGCTGGGATTACAGTTGTCAGCCACCGCACCCAGTCCATCGCCAAACACTTTGAAAACATTAGATCTTGTGAGAACTCACTCACTTACACCAGAACCACTTGGGGGAACCACCCCCATGATCCAGTCACCTCCCACCGGGCCCCTCTCTTGACATGAGGGGATTACAATTTGAGATGATTTGGGTGAGGACACAGAGCCACACCATCTCATTCTGCCCCGGACCCTCCCAAATCTCACGTCTTTCTCACATGCCAAAACACAATCATGCCTTCCCAACAATCCCCCAAAGTCTAAACTCATTCCAGCATTAACCCAAAAGTCCAAATAAAAAGCCTCACCTGTGACAAGGCAAGTCCTTCCTGCCTATGAGCCTGTATATTCAAAAGCAAGTTAGCTACCTCCAAGATACAGTGGGGGTACAGGCATTGGGTAAATGTTCCCATTCCAAATAGGGGAAATTGGCCAAAAAAGGA